GGCCGCTGGGCAGCGAGAACAGCTCGTCGCCCTCCTTTCGGGGAGACGTAAGACTCGGGTACGGGGGACGTTGGACGCCCGAGTTATCCGGGGTAACTCGGGTCAGGGGTAACTCGGGTTCGGGTTCCCGAAAAACGACCCCGAGTTAACCCTGCCCCGAGTTATCCCTGATGATTCGGGACGTTGGACGCCCGAATTATCCGGGGTAACTCGGGTCCGGGGTAACTCGGGCTTGGGTTCCCGAAAAACGAACCCGAGTGAACCCTGACCCGAATTATCCCTGATGATTCGGGGCTCTGGACGCCCGAGTTATCCGGGGTAACTCGGGTCCGGGGTAACTCGGGTTCGGATTCCCGAAAAACGAACCCGAGTTATCCCTGACCCGAGTTACCCCTGATGATTCGGGGCTCTGAGGACGCGGGTTGGCCCGACGTGGCCATCATAAAAACTGACGAGGCCCAATCTGAAATTTGACGCGAGCTCCCGCTGCAAACATCCCACGAAAACTGGACCGTCTAAATCCAGGACGCGCTCGTCAAAAAACGTCGGCAAACCCGAGTTCCGGCTTACCCGAGTCTTACGTTCCCCCGATCCTTGGCACCCTCGCCAGCCAGCAGGCCCCTCGTAGGACGGGAACGATGCCATGATATGATTGGCTCAGGACGCCAAACTATTCCCATGCCTTCCAGCATATCTAGTTCCATGCTTTCCAGCACATTTCCATGCTTTCCAGGACGATGAGGGGACGATTCCAGGATTCCACGATTCCCAGCAGAACTAGTGCCCTCGTTTCTGCGGCCCGTGTGGAGCACCAGGCAGTCTGGGAGGTCCTGGGGAACCCTGCAGCTCTTGGATCGCAGGACTGTCAGGACCTCTTGCTCCTCCAGGGGCCTCTTAGATGGGGCCCGAGCAGACTACACCCTGCGAAATGCTTAAGAAATAAGAACCCAACATTTCTATCAAAATCTTGAGATTTACATTGAAACGTTAAGAATAATCGAGACTCTGGCCGAGAACGTAAGTTTTCTTAACCATCGCCTAAGGTGTAGGGCGGAGGACTGCACCGCATCGCCGATGCGTACGTCGGCGATGCGTCGGCGATGCATCGGCGACGCCGGCATGGAGGAAGTCGGGCTCCACATCGAGCCGCGTCGCCGATGCACGGGCGATGCGGCGCGATCCTCAGACCGCATCTACTCCGACCCCATCTGGGAGGCCCAGGATGACTGTCCCAGGCCCCCGACGGCATGACTTTTTCGCGACGTCGACCCCCAGAGGTCTCGACCCATTCCCCGGGACCGGTCTTCATCCCGAGTAACTTCTGACGGCCCCGAGGCCCACAGTGGCGAAAAACCGTCCGCCGTGATTTTTTTCTCACTCGATGGGGTCTGGGTTTATGTCGGGCGTGTCCCCTACAGGGGGATTTTCGACGAAACATAACAAGTACCCCCAAAATACCCCCAACAGGCCAAGAAATACTCAAGAAATAGTCCCCAGACGATTTTTGGACTATTATTTGACTAGGTTTGGGGTATTTCTTACTTTTCGTCGAAAATCCCCCTGTAGGGGGACACGCCCGACGTAAGTCTGGGTCCATGGCACCTTGGCTCCTCCAACCTCCGCCCCATGGCAAGGGGACCACGCCCGCGCTTCTCCTGGACCTCTCCCGGGGTGCGCTCTGACCAGCACTCCCAGGGGGAGAGGAGGAAGGGGAGGAAGGGGAGGAGGGAGGACGAGGGAAGAAAGAGGAGGGAGGAAAGAGGAGGGAGGAAAGAGGAGGGAGGAAAGAGGAGGGAGGAGGAGGAAAGAGGAGGCAGGAGGGGGACCCAGTGGTGGCGACGATGGGCCTCCCAGGAGGCCCCCCCAAGATAAGGCGAAACGAGGCAGGGGTAAAGCGATAAGGGTACCTGCTCCTCCTCTGACTTGTGACCCCGCCGTCGGGCGCGGGTTTGCTGACGGTCCCCGGGCCCGGTGGGGCCCCCCGAGGCCGAAAGTGGCGAAACGCCTCCCGTCGTGCTTTTTTTCCACAGCGCGAGGGGCTCTGTTGAGCAGGGACCGACCGTCCCAGCACTCCTACAGTCCTACCACGAGATGTTCTTAGAACCCAGACACGTTCTCAAAACACAGTGTTCTCAGAACATAAACCCGATGTGATAAAACAAGACAGACTCCGCCAGAAATGCTCTAAGAACATTTTTTGGAAACCACAAAAGGTTCTCAGAACATTGTTTCGTAGGGCTATAGGCGAGCCAGGACGCTTCGCCACTGCTTGACTGTTCAAAGTGAACAAGAACTGCTGTTGGGCATCGTACCCCAAACTCTCGACGTCGTGTTTTTTTCGCAACGTCGACCCCCGGAGGTCTGGACCCTTTTCCCGGGACAAGTTTTTATCCTGAGACATTTTTTGACGGTCCCGAGGCCCGGTGAGGGCCCCCTGAGGCCGAAAGTAGCGGAAAACCTCCCGACGTGATTCTTCACGGCGCGGGGAGGTCTGGGTACTCCTTCTTTCCGCACCCCTTCCGTTCGTGCCCAACCTCAGCCCCGTGGCGGGGTCCACGCCCACGCCCAGGCCCGGCGCCGCCGTGGCGCCGCGGCCCTCCGCCCACCGCAGGAACTCCGCGAAGGCCCCGCCCGGCTCGGCCGCCGCGCGCCCGCGGAGGCCCGGCCCGACGAGCGCCAGCGCCGACAGCCGCAGCCGCCCCGGCATCCCCGCCACGGCGCGGCGGCGCGAGGGGCCGCCCCCTCCGCCTGCTGCTGCCCACGGAGCTCGAGGCACGAGGTCCCGCTATGCTCCACCTCCCCCTCCTCCTCCTCCTCCTCCTCCTCCTCCTCCGCCCTCCTCCTCCTCCTCCGCCCCCTCCTCCTCCTCCGCCCTCCTCCTCCTCCCACCCCCTCCCTCCCAGAGAGGGGGACGGCCGGGAGGACCAAGAGGCGAAGCAGGAGGGGGAGGCAGAGCGCACGAGAGGAGAAGGGAGGAGGAGGAGGAGGAGGAGGAGGAGGAGGAGGAGGAGGAGGCGGAGGGTCAATGGGGAGGTTGGAGCGTCAGATGGGGGGCCATGTCAGATCCTCATCTTTGCCACCGCCGCCGCCATCGACGAGTACGGCCGAGGGGCAATTCGACAGCCTGCAGGGCAGCACAAGCTAACGAGTTCGCATCTGCCGAACAGAAGGGGATCGAATGGGCCTGACTCTCTTGGTGGGCCAGGCGATACAGGTGGAAATGCAACGCTACGTATTCAAAGGCTTCGGATTGGGGAGGGATCATGCCCAGAGCGAAGAGGGGGTCCATAAAAGGGGGGCAGGAAAATCAGACGTTAACTGACTACGGGCAACCAAATACATAGGCGACCAGTGACAAAATTAATGCATCTGCTTCAGAGAACCGTCCTCCCCAGGGTATCCCCCAAAGCAGCTCCTGTGCGGATTGCGCATCCTGGACTCGGGAGGAGAAGCAGGAAAAGAGGAGCAGGAGGAGGGGAAGGAGGAGGAGGGAAAGAGGAGGATCAGGAGGAGGAGGAGGAGGGGAAGGAGGAGGAGGAGGAGGCGGAGGAGGAGGAGGCGGAGGCAGCAGGAGGAGGAGGGAGGAGGGGAGGGAGAAGGAAGGGAGGAGTGTAGGAAGGCAGCAGGAGGGAAAGAGGAGCAGGAGGAGGAGGAGGAGGAGGAGGAGGGAAGTGAGGAGAGGGAGGAGGAGGAGGAGGAGGAGGACAGGATCGACCCCCGCTCGCAGGCCGAGCAGACGAGGCTCCGGGGGCACGAAGGGCTGGGGCGGCCGACGGACCCGCTGGCGCGCTCGCGGGGGGAGGGGGGGGTCGGCGGCGGGTCCCGCTGACGATGCAGATGCTGACCTGGCCGGCCTCCTCCTCCTCCTGCTCCTCCTCCCTCTTTTCTCCTCTCCTCCCTCCTCCTCCTCCTCATCTCTCCTCCTCCTCCTTCCTCTCTCCTCTCCCTCTCCTCCCCTCTCTCCCTCGTTCTCCTCCTATCCTCCTCAGAGAGGGAAGAGAGAGTGAGAGAGACGAACAAATAACGAACAGTGTTTTGAGAGAGAGAGTGACGTGAGGGATAGGAGCTAGAACCATCTCCTCTCCGTCGACCTCCTCCTCCTCCTCCTCCTCCTCCCCCTCCTCTCCCCCATCCTCCACCTCCTCTCCTCCTCCTCTCCCCTCCTCATCCTCCTCCCCTTCCTCCTCCTATTCCTCCGGAGCGCCTCCTCCTCCTTCCTCCCCCCCACTCATCATCCTTCTCTCCTCCTCCTTCCGAGCCTCCTCTCCTCCTCCGAGCCTCCTCCTCCTCCTCCTCCGAACCTCCTCCTCCCTCCTCCTCCTCCTCCTCCTCCCCCCGCCCTTCCGCTGCACATGGCGCGCGGGACCGTCAGCGCCACCACCGCGCAGGGCCCCGCGAAGCGCTCCAGCCGCGGGGCTCGGCCCTGCAGCTCCGCCATCGCCGGCGCGGCGGCCGCCCCCCGCCGGCGCGGCGGGCGGCGGCGGCGCGGCCAGGCTCGGGCTGCGGCACGGGGCAGCTGCGGCAGCTGCGGCAGCAGGGAGGGGCCGCGGGGCGGGGGGAGCGCCTGCGCCGGCGGCCCCGAGGGGGCATGGGGGGGGGGGGGAGTGAGTGGGGGAGGGGGCGGGAGGGTGGCAAGGGAACGGGGGAGGAGGGCGCGGGGAGAAGGGACGGGGAGGGGAGATGCCGCCCTGGGCCCGGGACGCCCACCTCCACCACCACCACCACCACAACCACCACACCTCATCATCATCATCATCATCATCATCATCATCATCATCATCTCTCGATCATCCACTTTCATCATCATCATCATCATCATCATCATCATCATCATCATCCATCATCATCATCATCATCATCATCATCATCATCATCATCATCATCATCATCATCATCATCATCACATCATCATCATCATCACCATCACCATCACCATCACCATCATCATCATCATGAATCATCATCAGCAGCAGCAGCAGCATCGTCATCATCATCACCACCATCATCATCACCATCATCATCAGCATCATCATCATCATTATCATCATCATCATCAGCATTATCATCATCGTCATCATCACATCCATCATCACCATCATCATCAGCATCATCAGCATAAGCATCAGCATCACCACCACCACAACCATCATCATCATCACCATCATCATCACCACCATCATAATCACCATCATCATCATCAGCATCAGCATCAACATCATCACCATCACCACCATCATCATCACCATCATCATCATCACCAGCAGCATCATAACCATCAGCATCATCATCATATTCAGCATCAGTATCGTCATCATCATAATCACCATCGTCATCATCAGCATCAGCAACCCCATTATCATCGTCAGCATCACCATTTGCATCATCACCATCATCATCATCACCATCATCATCATGAGCATCATCAACATCACCATCACCATCATCATAATCATCACCATCAGCATCATACTCATCATCATCATACTCAGCGTCAGCATCAACACCATCATCATCATAATCACCATCATCATCAGCATCAGCACCATTATCATCATCAGCACCGTCATCATCATCAGCATCAGCACCAGTATGATCATCGTCACCATCATCATCAACATAATCATCAGCATCAGCATCATACTGATCATTATATTGAGCATCAGCATCGTAATCATAATCACCACCATCATCATCATCATCATCATCATCATCGTCAATCATCATCATCGTCAATCAGCCTCATCATTATCACTATCATTATCATCACCATCATCATCAGCATCAGTAGCATCAGCACCATGATTATCAGCATCAACATCATCATCATCATCAACATCATCATCATCATCATCACCATCAGCATTATGACCACCAGCATCATCATGTTCAGCTTCAGCACCACTATCATCACCATCATCAGCACCATCATTATCATCATCAGCATCAGCATCAGCATCACCATCAGCACCATCAGCATCATTATCATCAGTACCATGATCATCACCACCATCATCAACATCATCATCAGCATCATCATGATCATCATAACCAGAATCATCATAACCATCAGCATCATCCTATTCAGCATCAGCATCAGCATCAGCATCATCATCATCATCATCATCCGAATCACCAACCTCATCATCACCACCAGCATCAACACCATCACGATCATCATCATCATCATCATCACCATCATCATCATCACCTTCATCATCATCATCACCATTTTTACCAGCATCAGCACCATCATCATCATCATCATCAACATTATCATCGACATCATCACCATCAGCATCATAACAATCATTATCATCAGATTCAGCATCAGCATCAGCATCATCATAATCACCAAAATCATCATTATCAGCATCAGCACTATCACCATCAGCACCATCATCATCAACATCACCATCATCATTTTCCCCATCATCATCACCATCATCAGCATACTCATCATCATATTCAGCATCAGCACCATCATCATGATCACCAACATCATCATCAGCATCGCCATCATCACCATCAGCATCATCATTTCCATCAGCACCATAACCGTCATCATCATCATCATCATCATCATCATCATCATCATCATCATCAG